CTTGTAACTGAGAACCTGTGGTATTTGGTTTTCTGTTCCTGCGTTAGTTTGCTAAGGATAATGGCCTCCAGCTCCATGCATGTTCCTGCAAAGGATATTATCTCGTTCTTTTATATGGCTGCATAGTATTCTGTTTCGTATATGTACCACATTTTTTAAATCCAGTTTACAACTGAAGGCATTTGGGTTGATTCTATGTCTTTATTGTGAATAGTGCTGCAGTGAACATATGTATACATGTGTCTTTATGATAGAATGATTAATATTCTTTTGGCTGTATATCCAGCAATGGGATTGCTGTGTCAAATGGTAGTTCTCTTTTTAGGTCTTTGAGGAATCACCATACTGTTTTCCATAATGGCTGAAGTCAGTCTGAGTATATTAAAATTGATGTCTTTACAATAATGAATTTTCCAATTCATGAACACTGTATATCCCTTCATTAATTTAGCTTATCTGTACTTTCTCTTAATATCGTTTTGTAGTTTTTAGTGTAAAGATTTAATCCTTCATTAGATTTATTTTTAGGAAGTAGACTTTTAAATTATACTTTGATATCTTTTAAAATTTTTGTTTACTGATTATTGCTAACATAAAAATACAATGGGTTTTTAATATGCTGACTGCATATACAGAAACCTTGACAAACTTCATTAATGGTTATTCCTGGTTAGTTTGTCTGACTCAGTCATGTTACCTGTGAATGGTGACCATTTTCTTTATTCTTTTCCAGTTCTTATACTTTTCATTTATTTATTTTTGCCTTAAGGTAAAATTAGACCTTCAGTACATGTTGAATGGAAGTAATAATAGTGGCCTTCTTGTCTCATTCCCATTTCTCAGGGAAATGTGTGTGTGTGTGTGTGTGTGTGTGTGTGTGTGTGTGTATGTGTGTGTTAAGGCACTAAGAATTTATTCCCAGTTCATAGCGTTTTTATCCTGAATGGGTATTGAATTTTATCAAATACTTTTTTTGCAACTATCAGAGTGATCTTTCCCTCTTTTTTCTGTTAATGGGATAAATTGCATTAATAAATTCTGATTCTAACGTCTTAACAATTGGAGTATTTTGGCTGTTTGCATATAAATGTAATTATAAATAATATACAATCTTTTCTTTTTTCTCTTTTTTAAAATCTGTATGTTTTTAATTATGCTGTCCTTTCTAGTAGTGGTTACTCTAGAGATTACAGTATACTTCATGGAGTTACTTTAGCTACTACCAATCATTATTCCTCGCTTCCCCAAGGATGCTAAAACCTTAGAACATCTTTTTCCATGAAGAACACTTTTTACTCCATTTGTCCCTCATGCTTTTTACATTACTGTTGTCATGCATTTTAATTCTACTTATATTTAAGCCCCAATAAATTACAATTTTTTTGTCGGCCAGTTTTGGAAAATTCTTATTTATCTCTTCAAATATTGCTTCTTTCTTTTTCTTCTGTGACTCCACTAAATAGGTGTTAGACTCTTGCACTGTGTCTCACATTTGCCTTAGGCTCTTTGTAATATCTATATTTTTTCCCTGCTTTAGTGAAAATATCTTTCATTGACCTTTTAAAAAGTTTTCTAGTCTTATCTTTAACTGTTTAGTCTGTTCAACTTACATTAAGTGGTTAATTTCAGTTATTTTCCAGTTCTAGAATTTCCATTTGATTATTTTTAAATTATTGGTAAAACTCTGTTGCCTTTTTTTTTTTTTTTTTTTTAATCCTAGCTTTTATTCATAAGCTTCTGTTTTTTGGCAGCCTGATAGTTTTTGATTGAATAACAATCATTGTAAAAATTGTGAAGGCTCCAGATGATAATCTTCTTTTAGACAGGATTTATTCTTTTCTTTTCTTAGACATGTTAGTGTGGGAGCTGATAACTTTTATCCAGTCAGGGACCAAAGTGAATCAAAACTTTTTTTTTTTTTTTTTTTTGAGATAGAGCTTCGCTCGTTACCCAGGCTGGAGTGCAATGGCGCGATCTTGGCAACCTCCGCCTCCTGGGTTCAGGCAATTCTCCTGCCTCAGCCTCTTGAGTAGCTGGGATTACAGGCACACGCCACCATGCCCAGCTAATTTTTTGTATTTTTAGTAGAGATGAGGTTTCACCATGTTGACCAGGATGGTCTCGATCTCTTGACCTCGTGATCCACCCTCCTCGGCCTCCCAAAGTGCTGGGATTACAGGCTTGAGCCACCGCGCCCGGCCCTCAAAATTGTTTTAAGGCTATTTGTACATTTGATTTGTCTTCATACAGTCTAGCTTTCAAGGTCTTTCAATTTAGAGTCTTAAATTCTTGGGTCCCTCTTTGGCAAATTCTGAACTCAAATCCTTGTCTCGTTCGCAGTACAAGATGTCTGAAAAGGTTGCTTCTTGGCTTTCTGCTGCATGCAAAGTCAGCATTTGGCAGAAGTCTTAAAGAGCACCTCACTAGGATCTTAGCCCCTTGGGTATCCTCTTTTATCTCCAGCCCCATGAAGCCAGCAGAATCTTTGCTGATAGTTTTACCCCATGGCAGTGATTCTTTCTGGGTAAAGTATGATTCTTGCTCTTGTGTTATGGTTAGAAGCCACACATATTCTTTGGGAGAAAAGTGGCTGTAGTATGTCAGCCCAATTTATTTATTTTTCTTTGCTTTATTATTTTTACTTCCGTAATGACTTGCAATGTCAGCCTACCTTTAGATTGTTCTCCCTTCTCTGGAATCTTGTGACCTTTTGTCCTGATTGTTTGTGCAGCTCTAGATATCTTTAAACATAATTTTTATTCAAGTTTTTCTACTTCTCAGCAGAATTTAGTTTATTTGCCAGTTATTCCTTTATCCCTATAAGCAGAACATCCCATGATAGCCTGTAAGTACTTTTTATATATGTTAGTTGTTTTGATCACTACCAGCCTTATCTTCCCTGCCCATCTTTACCATCAGTTGTCACCAGTAAAGTTTTATTTGCTATGTCTATTCCAGTACTCACTTTATGCTAACAAGGTGTATATGTATAAAATTTCATATTATCCACTCAGCAGCCATAGGGCAATGAGGTGTTATAATAATTTAAAAACAAAGGAAAGGTCCAGTATCTATACGATCACAGAATTAATGGCAAAGCACTGATTCACATTGGTCTCTGCATATAACCCTTGCTGTTAAAATCTATGCTGTTTTTTGTGTGTGGTCGTCCTATAATCCTGTTTGCTTCCTATAGAATACAGCTCAGGGAATATCTTCAGGACATTCTTTCTGTCCTGAAAGTGCTTCATTATCACTCTGTACAGTCCTCTCTCATATTGTCATATTCAAAATATCTCAGTGTCTGTATCCTCTACTGTGTTAAAGTTTTTGCCAAGAGTAGAGAATGTGTTTTATTTATATTTGTACCCCAGGATTCATTAGAGTGCATGGTATATCTAAGCATATAATAAACGTGCTTAGATGTGTAGGGGAAATACAATACTTAATTTGAATAGATTTAAGAAATTTATATGTGTATTACAGTTTTTATCATCTTTATATTAGAATCTAATTATTCTCCCTGGTACTGTCTTAGCAAAACTGTTGAACATTATATGTTAAGTTACATTTAATTCTTTTTCATCGTATATGTAAAATTTTTTTGACCTCAAGCAGTATATTGTTATAATATCCTGAAGCAGTTCAGAGACCTTTTAGCATATGGTAGTATTTCACAATTATAAAATAATTTATAATTTGTTAGTAGTAGAATTAATAAACAAAAATTATATATGTATAATTAAATCACGATTGATTAAGCTATCTCCTAGAAGATGAACTGATTGCAGATGACAAGTAAAGACATAGCTCATAAACAGAAGTCTCATAACTGGATAAAATTTTGATAATACCCTCTAGAAAGCATGATTTTTTTAAACCTTACTTTGCTGGGTAATTTAGATATTTTATTGATCTAGAAGCTTGATAGCTAACACACTAGATATACTGCACAATTGAAGACGTTTGTTAAAGAAACTTAGTAGTTTTTCCTTTGGGTAATTAAAAATAACGATTAGCACTTTATTCTCTAATAGTGGCTAATTTGGACTCAGTAGTTATTGGAGACATTTGATAGAGTTGACCCTCTGTATTTATGGATTCCACATCTGAGGATTCAACTGTGGATCAAAAGTATTTGGGAAAAAAAATTAACAACACAACAATTAAAAAAATACAAGTAAAACAGCACAGTATAGCAACTATTTACATAGCATTTACATTTTATTAGGTGTTAAGTAATCTAGAGATGATTTAAAGATACCAGAGGATATGTATACATCATATGCAAATATGCCATTTTATATAAGGAAATTTGAACATCTGTGAATTTTGGTATCCAGGGGAGTCCTGAAATCAATTTCCCATGGAAACAAAGGGACAACTTTGTTTTCCTTTTATTTTACTTTTTAATCATGAAATAAATGTGTATATATGTGAATATGGTCATGTATGTGCAGGTACTTTATAAAAATCAGGTAGTTCATATAACATAGAATATATCATTTTTACTTTTTAAAAAATTACACTTCAGTAATGGCTTAGTACATCAACACTGTTGTGCAACTGGCACCTCTGTCTAGTTCCAGAACACTTTTATCAGTCCCAGAGGAAACTCCATAACCAATTACTTGCTATTTCCCCCTCCCCACAGACCCTGGGGTCTACAAAAGCTAATCTGCTTTTGTATGGATGGATCTGCCAAATATTTAATATAAGTGAAGTGATACAACATGGCCCTTTGTGTCTATCTTCTTTCACTTAGCATATTATTTTCAAGGTTCATTCCTGTTATAGCGTGCATTGATACTTTCTTTTTATGACTACATATTATTTCATTGTGTGACCAGGCTTAATGGCTCACACCTGTGTCACTTGGGAGACGAAGGTGGGAGGATTGCTTGAGCCCAGGAGGTCAAGGCTGCAATGAGCTGTGATTGTGTTACTGTATTTCAGCCTGAGTGGCAGAGCAAGACCCTGTTTAAAAAAGGAAATTTCATGCTCACTTCAGCAGTACACACACACTAAAATTGGAATGATATAGAGAAGATTAGCATGGCCCCTGCATAGAGATGACACGCAAATTCGTGAAGCGTCCCATATTTTTATTCTGTGTCAAATAAAGTCCAGTTGGATTCCAAAAAAAAAAAGGAAATGTCACTGGGCACGGTGGCTCATGCCTGTAATCCCAACACTTTGGGAAGCTGAGGTGAGCAGATCACTTAAGGTCAGGAGTTCAAGACCAGCCTGGCCAACATGGTAAAACGTTGTCTCTACTAAAAATACGAAAGTTAGTCAGGCATGGTGGCATATGCCTATAATCCCAGCTACTCAGGAGGCTAAGGCAGGATAATCACATGAACCCAGGAGGTAGAGGTTGCAGTGAGCCAAGATCACACCTTGGCACTCCAGCCTAGGTGACAGAGTGAGACTCTGCCTCAAAAAAATAAAAAGGAAAATTAATTGTGCACATGTACCACATTTTCAAAATTCATTTATTCCTTGTTGGATGTTTGTATTGTCCATCAGTGGATGGATTATTAGCTAGTAACCTTTGGCTATTGTGAATAATGCTGCAATGAACATTTGTGTCTCAGTCATTTGAACACTCGTTTCCAGTTCTTTTGGATACATGCCTAGGGGTAGAATTGCTGGAACATCTGGTAATTCTATGTTTAATTTTTTGAGGAACACTTAAACTATTTTTACAGCAGTTAAACCATTATACATCTCTACCAGCAATGTCCAGGGATTCCAGTTTCTCTAAATCCTTGTCAGTGCTGGTAATTCCTTTCTCCTTTTTTTTTTTTTTTTTTTTTTTTAATTATAGCCATTCTGGTGGCTTTTTTTTTTTGTCTTTTTCAACATTTTTACTGTGATCCATGTTTGTGGATTTCTTTACATTTAACCTACTTGGAGTTCATTGAAATCCTTAAACGTATGTCATTGCTTTTCAATAAACTTGGGAAGTTTTCAGCCATTATTTCTTTAGTTATTTTTTTCTACTTCTTTTGTCTTTCCTCTCTTTCTGGTACTCCCAGTACATATATGTCACTGTGCTTAAAATAATGTCCTACAGTTCTCTGAAGCTGTTCATTTTTCTTTATATTTTTCTATCTGGATTATATAGTCTCTATTGATTTGTCTGTAAGCTCACTAATTCTTCTATTAGTTCATATCAACTGTTGACCTCCTCTAGTGAATTTTCATTTCAGTTATATTGTTCAGCACCAGAATTTTTTTTAACTCCAGAATTTTTATTTAGTTCTTTATTTAAAAAATAAATTTTACCTTTTTATTGATATTCTTTTTCTTTTTTTTTTTTTGACATTGTCATCATACCTTCCTCTACCTTAATTCCTTTAGTTTTTAAACATACTTATTAATGGCTATTTTGAAGGTTTTGTCTGTTAGAGCCAACATGTAAGTGTTGTTTCTGTTACCTGCTTTTTTTCCCCCAGTATATGGATCATACTTGCTGTTTTTTGATGCCTTGTAATTTTCTATTAAAAGCTGGAAATTTTATGTAGTATACTGAGAAATTCTTGGAGCTGGTTTCTTCTTTCCAGTGCAAACTGTTGCTTCTTGCTTATTTTGTTTATGGACTATTTTAGTGGAGTCTATTTAGTGCCCACCCACAGCCGCCTCAACTTGTCTCCCCCCCTCCACACACACACATAGTGTGGAGCCTCTAATGTTGCACCTTAGAGGAAGCCACCTTGGGTATTTCCACAGTTACCCTGGGTGACAGTGGTTGGGCAGGGCTCTCTTTTTGCCTGTTCACACATATATCTGTTGAAGTCCGTTAATCTAGTGCTAATTGCGCTTTTGTTTTCAACAGTGCCCTGGGGCATATGTTGTTCTACAGCCTAATCAAATTTGTTCTATAGACTAATCAAACTTGGTTTCCTTTGAAGAAATAGTTCCCTAAGTCAGTGCTTGAAATTTCTTCTGACGCCAGGTGGGCTCCTCCCAGCTGTCTCCTTCCCTGGTTTTTTGTAGAAAACCAGCTGTCCTGTAGTTTAGCCTTTATATCCATTGATTCCTCCAATCTCTTCTCATTTGCCTCTCACAGCTTCTACAATTTTTCAGATCATGCTTGCCTATTTCTTTACAAATGAACTTGGTTTCTCTGGGAAGAAATTAAAAGCATTCTGCTTTATGGTTAACTTCTCTCCACAGGAAAAAAATCTCCAAGCTCAGGCTCTGGAGTCAAGAGTAAGGGAAAATGGTGCATTTCTTACACAGTGACATCTCTACTTTAGGAGTTGAGCTGGAGGGAGGCAGTAACCTCAGTTCTACTTATCTTCAAACTCCCAGTGTGGAACCCACAGCTTACGAGCCAAGACAACAGTGATTGGTACTCCCAACAGCATCATGCCCAAAGTAGAGCCTCCACCCTTACAGCAGGGACTTTCCTTTTGGCTACATTCACTCGGAATATCAGCATTAGGTAGCTAGAGGCAGGATTAGAAATGTTGACCCCCTTCCCATTCCAGGAAGACTGACTGGACCTGTTGGAAGAGGGAACCCACTGCTTGTGGCTACACCAGTCTAGAATGGAGTTTTTGACTCCTTGAGTTGGAACAGAGCAGGTCCTTATTCAGAGACCACAGATTCTTACATTTCTTACAGTCTCTAATAAATTTTCTTGAATAAATGTTTCTTCATTTGTTCTGTGCTTCCAGCACCGTTTTTATATTTTTCACTAAGTTTGCTGGGGACTTTGTCCATGGAGCTCTTAAAGTTGTCATGATGAAAGTTTTTTTCATTAGCGGTTCAGTCTCTACTGGTTATGGAACTGTTCATGTTTTCTGTTTCTTCTTGAGTCAGTTTTGGTAGTTCCACATTTTGAATTTTTTAAATGTTTTCTTCTGTTTCTGATTTATAATTTCATTCCACTGCAATCAGAGAAGATACTTTGTGTAATTTAAAATATGTTGAGACTTGTTTTGTGGCCTAGATAGCATATAGTCTATCCTTGAGAATGTTCCATATGCACTTGAAAAGAAGGTGTGTTCTACTGTTGATGGGTAAAATGGCTATTAGGTCTAGTTGTTTATACTGCTGTACAAGTCTTCTGTCTCTTTCTTCATCTTCCTGGTTCTTGTATGCATTATTGAATGTTGGGTATAGCTGTCTCCAACTAGTATTGTAGAATTATTTATTCTCTCTTCAATTCTGTTATTTTGCTTGACATAGTTTGGGGCTCTATTATTTGCTGTATATATATTTGTAGTTGTCATACCTTCTTGATGAATTGAACCTTTTGTCAATATATAATATCCTTTATCTCTCATAACAATTTTTCACTTAAAATCTGTTTTGTCTTATGGTAGCATAGCTACCCAGCTCTCTTCTGCATGGAATATCTTTCTTCATCCTTTTACTTTTTTTTTTCTTTTCCTTTTTTCCACCACCTGTCAGGAGGAACATCCTTTTACTTTCAACCTATTTTTGATTTTCATAAGAACCCTTAAAAATGCTCCTCCGGTCCTTGCAGATTGCCTGTTTATTGGATCACTTCTTCAGTGTTTAGCCAGTCCATTTACAACTCTGCCTTAGTCTTCACTTCCTGTTGGCTCAGTGCTGTCAGCCTTCTTAGGACCCTCTTACCTCTTTGCAAGCATGTGTTTGCCCCTGGGCATACACTTGGCTTTTTAGATTTCCTGGTATATGTGGGAGCTTTTCAAAGCTTTTATTCCCCAGCTTCTTCCTTCCCACGCTTTTTTGCCTGGCTGTTGCTTGTGCCAATTCTCCTTGCTCTAGGTGGCTGTAACATATTTGCCTCTTAATGCTCTTGGTAAATGCCAGACCCCAGAATGCTATCCCCTACCTTGGGAAAGCTCCAAGGCAGGTGAAACTGGCCCTTAATTCAGTCATTCAGGGAATTGCCAGACTGGTCAGAGTACATACATAATGGCAATATTTTTCAGAATAAGGTCCATATTGCTCCCTTTGGTACCAGCACCCTATACCAGGAATAAGGTCAGCTGACTTTATACCAGCATCCTGTATCAGGAATGAGGGCTGATGACTTGAGTGGACCACCAAACTCGGGGAGGGGGCCATAGTAAGCAGGCGTATTAAAATGCCATAGCCCTTTCTCACTGAAATTCAGTAGCCTCTTTCTTCATCAAGCATTCCCTTACCTGTTAAGTTTTTTATGCAGTTCCAGAGTTTCAAACAAGTTGATTCTGATTGTTTCACCAGCTATTAATTGCTTTTGTAGAGGGCTGGAGTTTTGGAGCTCTCTACTATTTTGTGACATCAGTATGTATATACGTTATTACATATCTATAAGTTTTTATCTATATATTTTAGGGATTCATAGATACTTTTAAAAATGTCAAGAAATACATTGGTATGCTAATCAGCAATTCAGGATATAGGTTACTTCTGGTAAAGAGAGGAAACATGGTGGTGGTAGGGAAGCACCAGGATGGTGGGTACATGATTGTTTGATGTGTGATTCTTTTTATTTATGAATATTTGAAATTTTTATATAAAGTTAGGTAGTTGTATGTATCTATATGACATATATATAACATTGTTATATATATGTCTGAAGCATTTTGTTGAAGTAGAAGGTCTTGTATATGTTTATTCCAATAATAGATCTTGCTTTCCCTTTAATAAGTAGGAAATATCACATTTGAAATCTTAAGACAAGTTTATAAAATAGAATAAGGAAGAATCTTTTACTTATTTCTTGATGTATATAGATTGATTGTCTTGTGTTATTCTCTGGATCTTACTTTTGTTGTACCCTGTCTGCAAGCTTGCAAGCTTTTTCTGTAATAACAAGAATTGGAAGACCTGAATGTTAGTAGGTAGTTGATAGTCTATTGTTTTTATTTGTATTTTTCTTTTTATGAAGAGGAGGAAATTAATAGAATCCTGGAAATAGCACTGAAGTGAACTTTGGGAGATCTTTGTCTTTGTTCTAATATTCATCTAACAGTGTAAATTCAGACAGTTCTTATTTTCTGTGCTAGTTAATTTCTTTATCTTGGTCCTCATCCATAAAATAAGAATTGGACCAGATAGGTAAGGCCTATTTCAGCTTTGTAAAATCTGGAAGGACATCATGAGCTATGGAAAGAG